CGCGGCCCCGCCCGGCATCCGACGGGGGTGCGGCTCCAGGAAACCGCGCGCGCCGCTCTGCGTTTGGGGCAGCTGGACTTGCCCCGCGACCCCGAGACCGGCCTGATTATCCGGCGACTCCAGCGGCGGCACTGGGCGACCGAGACCTCAGGTCGGAGACCCGGACACCACGGCACGGACGGGGCGAACGGGACGGGTACCACGGATAGAAGCCCCTGAGGCCATGGGGACCCCGGCCAGGGCCAGGCCAGGAGTCATCGGCCAGCGGGAGCCGCGGGCCTGAGAAGGGACGGCAGAAGCAGCTGGGGCCATGACCTCGGTGTGGAAACGCCTGCAGCGCGTGGGCAAGCGGGCCGCTAAGTTCCAGTTCGTGGCCTGTTACCACGAGCTGGTACTGGAGTGCACCAAGAAATGGTAAGTGGGAGGCCTGAGGGGACCCCCCCCAGGTTAGTGGGGACCCCATCCTGCCTTCCCAGCCCAAAAAACACCCCTACCCCAGCCGTGTAGTCAAGGTCCCTCCTCCTCCTTGACCCAGCTTGGGCCCATGTGTCGCACATAGGGTGACTGAAGCTCCTTGCAAGTTTGAGGACCCCAGCAGCTGGGGCGTGGGGAGGCTTCGCGGGGTGGAGGTGAGGGCTTTCGGGCCTGAGAATCTGCCTATGCCCACATTTTTTTCAGCTCTGGTCAGGGGTAGGGGAGGGAGCCGGAATGTCTTCGGCCAATTGGAAAGGGTGGCAAGTTTTGAGGTCTACAGGTGGTCAGAGCTGGGACAGAAACCTTAAGGGACTTTAGCCCACCTTAAAACAAAGATGTTTCCCCCTTTTCCCCTGCCTTCTTGTTGAGCCAGAGGACCCCCCCCTCCCTTCAACCAGAGCCAGGGCTAGGAGGCTGGAAATGTCTCCACCATGCCCTTAAAAGGGGAAACTGAGTGCTTGGAGGAATCAGGAGGAAGGGGGAGTGATTTAAAGGGGCCCAAGGACCTAGGAGGTTGTGGGTCCAGGAGAAGGGGGCCTGCAGAGGGCAAGGCAGTGCGGTGAGGGGGCGACACATGAGAGGGTGCAGGCTCTGGTCTGGAGTGCCAGACAGCCCAGGGCAATCTGGTTCATATGCCCCCTCCGCAGCTGCCGGGCCCCCGCGTCACACCCTAAATATACATGCTCACTGGTGTCAGCTTCCCTTGGTGGATTAGGGGACAGCTGTGGGGGCCTCAGCCACTAGGCAGGCCTAAATTTAGGTTCCCTAGGGGAAGGGCTAGGGTAGGAAGGGAGCCTGGGGTTCACAGGGAGGAGAGTGAGCGGTGGTGGGGCCCCTAGAACTGCGGCCATGTCCCTGATCTTGCTCACGCTGGGCCTGCCACTTGGCTGAGATCCAGAGAGTACAGGCTGGCTGGGCTAACAGTACAGAGCTGGCACTTGAATCTTGGCCTCTGGGTTCTGCCCCCAGCATCCTAGGAGAGGCTAGGGGGCGCTGGCACGGTCCTGGAGAGCAGGCCTAGGGTGCAGGCCCAGTTAGCACAGCTGAGTCACAGGCGGTGGGATAGAGCCTTCTGGCTTCTTAGCCTGGACTCCAGGCTAGGAAGCTGTTCCTGCCCAGGTCACAGCTCTCCCGGAGGGCGTGTCTGGCCTGAGTCAGGCTGCTGAGCCAGACCCCGCCCTCTGAAGGCACCCCTTGTGTGCTTCCTCTTTCTGGGAAGGCCCCTTGGCAGTCCTTGCTTAGCCCTCATCTGCAGTTTGGGGTTGGGGGAGGGAGCTTAGCTCTGGGCCAGAAGGCTCAAGGCTCAGCTATGCAACCCTACTTGGCTGTTTCTCTGGAGCTCAGGATCCTCCAGGGTTAACAGGAGAGTCAGTTATCTTGGCTTGGCTTCTGGAGGGGCAGGGAGGTGGGCATACCTGAGCATCCCGGTGGGGGACTGGGAACAGGTGAGGGTGACTGTATTGCCTTTGCTTGGCTGTCCCCTTAACCCCCTCCCCCCATCCTAGTTGGACACTGATCCAAAGGGTCCCTTTTCCCTGGGGCCGTCCACATCACCTGTGTTTGGGCCTAGGCCCTGTGCAGCCTTCTCTCTCCTCTCACTTTCTCTCTGCCTCTGCGCATCTCTGCCTTTCCTCGGAATCTGCCTTGCATGTGCTGTTCAATTTAGACATCACCTACCCTGAGAAGTCCTTCCTGACTTCCTCTGGATTCTGTTATTATTTTTATTATTATTTTTTTGTCTTTTTGAGACAGGGTCTCGCTTTGCGGTTCAGGCTGGCCTTCAGCACACTTTGTAGCCCAGGCTGGCCTCGAACTCGCAACGATCCTCCTGCCTCAGCCTCCTGAGTTCTGGGATTACAGGGGTGCGCCACCACACCCAGCTTGGACTCTGTTGTTATTATCATCTCCCTGCAAAGCTCTGGTCCACGTCTCTAGGTTCTGGGGAGCAGGAGTCCTGGTTGACACTCCTTGGGGCCCTTGAGGCTAGCAAAGGGCTGCTGGCACAGCAGGCTTACCTTGTGGGTGTCTAAGGACAAGCTGGCCCTGGGTCTCGCTGGTGTCACTCCCATCTGGTGCCCTTTGCTGTCCCTGCCCCTCCTCCAGTCACAGGTTTTGCACTTGCCCTTCCTTCTGCCTGGAGCCCTCTTTCTCCAGATCCTGACGCATTCTCAGCCGCTGATGCCTCTGCTCTGCTGCTCATCCCTGTCTCCCTCATGAGCCCCCAAGGTTAGCTTGAGAATTTGCTTTCCTTTTGTCTTTTTTTTTTTTTTTTGGTACTGGGAGTCGAACTCAGGACCTTGCGCTTGCCAGGCAGGTGCTTGTGCCACTGAGCTATATCCCTGGCTGCTTTCCTTTTGGCCAGGCCTCTTTCCCCAGCTCCTTTGCCCTCAGCCCCAGAAGGGTGCTGCCTCTCTTTTTTTTCTGCTTTGTCCCCCAAACTGGTCTGGTTTAGAATGGACACCGGCACAAATAATTTGCAAGTGAATGAACTTCCGAGGCTGTTTCTTTCTGTGTCTGAGTTTGTGTCTGCTGCCTGTCTGCGCTGCCTGTCTGCTGTCTCCAGCTCTCGTTCTGTTCCTTCACGGTCCCTGCTGGCCCATGTTGTCTGGGCCTTTGCCCTTTGCCTCAGCCCCACCCTGCCTCAGCAGCCCCACCCTGCACCCTGTGGCCCCAGATAAGAGACTACCCAGAGGGAAGGGGCCAGGGTCAGAAGGAAGACCCTGCAGGAGCTGGGGAAGAAGAGGAAGAGGGCATGGCGAGGCTGGGTGAGCCTGACTGAGCAGCCCCCGCCGGCCCCCTCCCCAGGCAGCCGGACAAGCTGGTGGTGGTGTGGACCCGGCGGAACAGACGCATCTGCTCCAAGGTACAGGAGGATGATGACTGGGGGTCCAGGTTGGGATGTGGCCAAAGGGGGGCTGAAGGGAAGGCCGACCAGACAGAATCCACCCGAGAAGGGGAAGGTGGGTCAAGGCTGGGGACAAGGGAATGGGGGGAGGGGAAGAATTAATCCTCGAAGGAGGACTCAGAGTGCCTGTTGCAGGCCCACAGCTGGCAGCCAGGCATCCAGAACCCATACCGGGGCACTGTGGTGTGGATGGTGCCTGAGAATGTGGACGTCTCCGTGACCCTGTACAGAGTAAGTCTCTTTCTCTCTGACATGGATGGAAATGATCAGGTGGTTGCAGTGGGCAGTGAGGGGGTGTCCTAGTGGATTGTTTATCCAAACAGGAAAGAAGAGGGATGGGGCCGAGAGTTTCTGGGGGAGACATACCAAGCACGTGCAGCCCCCGAGACTTCTCCAACACCTGCAGTCATAGAGGCAGCTGGGATCAGAAGCTGGGGGACCTTCTGAGCTAGCATAGGCCCTTTCCCTGTACTGCCCTCCTCACAACCCTGTGCTCACCTGGCCTTTCTCCCTAGGATCCCCATGTGGACCACTATGAAGCCAAAGAGTGGACATTTATTATTGAGAATGTGAGTGCCAGCGTGGGCGGGGCTGGGGTCTCAGGGTTTTCAGGCCAGTGCCCCCATTGTGTCCCTCCCCGACCCTCAGGAGTCCAAGGGGCAGCGGAAGGTGCTGGCCACAGCTGAGGTGGACCTGGCCCGCCATGCAGGGCCTGTGCCAGCCCAGGTCCCGCTGCGGCTGCGGCTGAAGCCCAAGTCGGTGAAGGTGGTTCATGCTGAGCTGAGCCTCACCCTCTCAGGGGTGCTGCTGCGGGAGGGCCGAGCCACGTGAGTACCCACCTGCCCCCCTTGGCCCTGTCCTGTGATCTCTGACTCCAGTCCTCATCCCTGACCTCTGACCTCCAGGGATGATGACATGCAGAGTTTGGCCAGCCTCATGAGCGTGAAGCCGAGTGATGTGGGGAACTTGGAGGACTTTGCCGAAAGTGACGAGGATGAGGCTAATGGCCCAGGGGCCCCTGAGGCCCGGGCTCGAGGCCCCCAGCCAGGTGGGCCCACAGCCTGCTGTGGGTTGAGACTGCCAAGACCAGGGGGGCGTGGGAGGCACATGGCCACATGCCACACTGGCTGTGCTGGATGCAGGCTAGTATGTACCCTAGCGGTGGGAGTGCACCACTGCCCAGCAGTCCCAACCTCCCCAGGAGCCCGGGTTGTCCCAACTTGGTCATTCTGGTGGCTTCAGTCCTTGGGTGAACCCTATAGGTTGGGTTCCCAGCACCTCCCCATGCCCCTGGCTCTCCCAGCCCCTGGTGGGTGCTTGCCTGACTGATACCTGGACTGAGAAGCTGGCTCAGAAGCCCAGGGCAGCTGCAGTCCAATTCCCGGCTTCTCTTCCCTCCCCTCCCCACCTCCCTTCCCCACCTGTGTCCTGGTCCTCCCAGCTGCTTATTAAGGGTTTTCTCTGTCTGCTCTTGTGGTTCTCTCTCTGTTTGTGTTCTCATCTCTGTCTGTTTCTCTGTCATCCGCCCCCCTCGCTGTGGGCCTATCCCTTCTCCAGGCCTAGGCAGTGCTCTGAGGCTGGGGCGTTTCCCAGGTAGGCCCTGGACTCTAGTTGGGGGTGGGGGGTCTGACCTGCAGGGCTCCGCCCAGAGCTAATGTTGTCCCCTATAACCCCCTGCACAGATTCTTCTCGGGAGCTGAAGACACTTCGTGAAGAGGATGAGGGCCAAGTATACCCCAGGCAGGCAGGTGAGGCCTGGGGTGGGGTTCTGGGTGGGGACCAGACCTGAGGTCACAGGGCCTAGGCTTTAGTGCCTTCTCTCTTTCTCCCCAGATGCCAGCCCTACTAAAACTGAGGATTCCAGCCCAGCCCCTGTGAGTGGCCCTGTGCCCCCGGCCAGGGCCTCCCGGGGCCAGGGGTCAGAACCAACTACAATAGCCGGGGGCCAGGTGGGGCCCCCAGGAACCCCACCAGAGGCAAGGTGAGATCTGGAACCAGTCCTAGTCCTGCCGCTTTTAGGAGCTGTTCTCCCCCTCACCGACTGCCTCTCTAGTGCTCCAAGAATCCGAAGGGAGGGGTGGGGCTGAGATTGAGGGGCACAGGAGCCCCCTCCAGCATTCTGTCCTGCTCTCTCCCCAGGTCCCCGCGGCAGCCAAGCCAGGACACGGCCCCCACCCCGGCCCCTCGGCCTCGGAAAGGCTCTGATGCCCCTCAGCCCCCAGTCCTCCAAGAGGGGAACCAGGTCCCCAGTGCCAATGCCTCAGAGGCTCCCCCAGCAGGAGCGGGTTCTTCGGGGGAGACCCAGGCCTGGACAAGCCCCCAGGAAGGGGCAGAAGCCCAGGGAGGCAGGCCTGGCTTGGACACTGAGGCTATGGACTCCAAAGCCACCTGGGGAGGGCAGAGGCCCAAAGCTGGAGAGGGGGAGATTGGGGACAGGCCAGAGGCGGGTAGGGCGGACAGCCAGCGAGGGGCAGGAGTCGGAGAGGTGAGTGCCAAGAGGTCAGGGCACACGGCTGGAGAGACTCCAGAGAGTCCGGAACATAGTGACTTTGAGGCTGAGCAGAGACGTGTGGTGAGACATGTGGCCGCTACGGGACCAGAGGCTGCAGGGCTTCTGCCTGAGGCAAGATTCAGGGTGACTCCTGAGGCACCTCCAAGGGGCTCTCAGGGGAAGATGGGAGGCAGGGTGCAGGAAGAGGGTCCCACAAGCCTGAGCTCATCTTCAGCAGAGCCTGCAGGGTATTCTGGGTATCTCAGTGATCACAGCGGGGCTGGGGACGCTGCAGGCCAGGAGAGAAAGGATGCGGAGATAAGGGACAGAGCCCCTGGTATTGAGAGCACAGGCCTGGAGCAGGGCCTTTCTGCTGGATCAGCAAGCACCGGGCCCCAGGTGAGCAGGTCTCAAGGGGCCCTAACCTCAGCTGAGCAGGGGGCAAGACCTAGGGATCTGAAGATCTGGGAGGCAGAAGCTGAGGAGTCAGGAGTCCTGGAAGCAGAGACTGAACAGGCAGAGTGGGAGGTACTGGGTACCCAGGGGAGAGAAGCAGGGGGATCAGGGGTCTCAGAGATAGAGACGAGGCCAGCAGACACTGAGATATTGGGGGCCTGGGAGACAGAGACAGCAAGATCAGGGCTCTTGGAGTCAGAGGCTGCTAGGCCAGCGGGTTTGGAGGTACCGGGGGCCCAGGAGACAGGGGTTCCAGGGATGGTGGGAAAAGAGACTGAGATAGCAGGCTCTGAAGTATTGGGGACCCAGAAAATAGAAGCTGGGGATTCAGAAGTTCTGAGGACAAAGACTAGGGCAGTAGAGATTGAGATATTGGGGGCCAAGAAGACAAAGGTGGGAGGTTCTAGGGTACCAGAGATAGAGGGTGGGGAGGCAGAGGCTGAAATACCGGGGACCCAGGATATAGCAGCTGAGGGGTCAGAGGTTCCAGGGGTAGAAGCTGAGATGGCAGAGTGTGAGATGTTGGGGGCCCAGGAGACAGAGGAAGGGGTTCCAAGGATGCCAGGGACAGAGGCTGGAATGGCAGAGTCTGAAGTACTGGAGATCCAGAAAATAGAGGGTGAGAGTTCAGAAGTTCTGGGGACAAAGACTAGGATATTAGAGTCTGAGATATTGGGGACTCAGGGGGTATCTGAGGGTCCCACAGTTGTGCAGATAGAAGCTGAGACAGTGGGGGCCCAAAATGTGGAGGTGGGAGGTTGTGGGGTACCAGAGACCAAGGCTGGGAAGGAAGAGGCTGATGACATATTGGAAACACGAGGGACAACAACTGAGGACTCAGGGGCTCCAGGGATAGAAGCTCAGGTGGCGGAGTCTGAGATACTGGGGAGCCATAAGACAAAGGTGGTGGTTTTGGAGATCCCAGAGGTAGAGACCGGAACAGAAGCTGAGGAGTCTAGGACCCTGGAGATAGAGGTAGGAACTTCAGAGGTTTCAGCGATAGAAACTGAGGTAGCAGAAACTGAGATAGTGGGGACTCAGCAGATAGTAGGGGGTTTAGGGGTCCCAGGGATAGAAGCTGAGAAAGCAGAGTTGGAGAGATCAGAGCCCCAAGTGACGAAGATGGAGACCAGGATAGCACAAGCTGAGATACTGAGGACCCAAGAGATAGCAACTAGGAGTTCAGGGGTCTCAGGGCCAGAGGCTGAGGTAGTTTGGACCCAGCAGACAGAAACTGCAGTTTCAGAGTTTGAGGAGGCAAAAGTTGAGACTCTGGGGGTCCAGGAAGCAGAGACTAGAGTTGGGGAAGCTCTCAGTCACGAGGCTTTAAAGGTCCCAGTCGCAGAGCAAAGAGTTTTAGGATCCCAGGAATTAGAGCCAGAGGTTTCAGGACTACAAGGAGCAGAGATTAAAGTTTTGAGGGTCCAGGGAGCAGAAGCTAGGGTTTTGGGGGTGTCAGAGGCCAGATCTGGGGTTTGGGGGACCCAGGAAACAGAAATAGCAGTTTTGGGGCCTATAGAGAATAAATCTGGTATTTTTGAGGCCCAGGAAGCAGAGCCTGAGGTCTTGGGAAGCGAGAAGGGGAAAGAAGCCCAGGGAGGCGTCCCAGAGGCTGGCCTGACTGAGGCACAGGTGGCCAGTGGGGCAGGGGCTGGGGTGCCCAGGCGCTCGGGGGCCACTTCCCCAGAGGAGCCTGAAGAGGACAGGAGGCTGCCGGGCAGCCAGGTAGGGATGGCAACGGCTGAGGGCCCAGCTGCTTCTTCCCACTAACCTGGGGCTGCGCTAATAATGGCGGCTCTGCGTGGACCCGCCTGAGACTGAGGTGGTGTGAAGTGGGGGGCTCAGCTGCAAGGAGCCCCTCATGCCCTGCTTCCTCAGGATGCCCTGGCTCTCCCACCTTGTCTTCCCTGGGCTGGGCTGCATGGAGCTGGATACTCCTAAGCTGATTTTCTGGGCTGACCTTGAGGTGTGGCTGCTGGTGACCTCTGATCTTGCCTGGGGGCCGCTGACCTTTTAGATGTCCTTGGCAGATAACTTCTGAGCTGGAACCCCTTAGCTCTGGCCAGCAGTCTCTGATGACCTCTGAAAACTCATAGCTGAGACTTCTGTGGCAGGCCTGAGCTTCCCCGAGGGGCAGTGGGTTCAGGTCTCAGGAATACATCCCCTAAACCCCTCCCTGTGTCCCTAGGCACCACCTACCCTGGTCAACTCCAGCCAGTCCCTACTGGAGTGGTGCCAGGAGGTCACCACTGGCTACCGGGGTGTCCGAATCACCAACTTCACCACATCCTGGCGCAATGGCCTGGCCTTCTGTGCCATCCTGCACCGATTCTATCCGGACAAGATGTGAGCTGCCGGTGGGGTGGGGTAAATGGGGAGCCGGGTGGAGGGTGGTGTGGGTGCCGCCGCTGACCAGTGCCCTCTCTGCAGTGACTATGCCTCCCTTGACCCGCTCAACATCAAACAGAACAACAAGCAGGTGAGGCAGGAGGGAGGCGGGGCTGGGAAGAGGCTGCAGCCTGAGAACCGGAAGCTGTGGGCTGCAGGCCCTGGCAGTGGCTTTTGGGCACGTTTCACTCTTTTTTTTTTTTTTTTGGTACCAGAATTCAAACTCAGGACCTCATGCTTGCCATGCAGGCACTGTGCCACCGAGCTATATTCCTAGCCCAACAGCTTTTAAGGCAAGGTGCCAAGCCCTGGGGAAAACAAGGAGTGCAGAGTTATAAGGAGCTCTTGACTTTGTTGGGGAGTCATAA